TTGAACATTGTACCCAGTCATTATCACACTCAGGCTCTAATATAACACTATCATAGCTAAATAATACAAGTTATATATATATTTTGACATTATTAGGCGATGCTGTGGTCACATGCTGAACAGCAGTGCTGTGCGCTCATGCTGCGAGCGCCAGCCTTGGTTGCTCACACACTACTGAGGCTCCCACACCCGGGAATGTGGACCACGATTTTTTTTAAAGATGGCGTCTGTTTACAAGAGCCCTGAGGAAGCTGATGTGAACCCCATGTAGCCGCGGGAGTTTTGAATGGAACGTGAAAAATACAAATACCCGGAGGCGCGTTGCGCAAACCAGACGTGAGCCTGCAGGCGCGTTGCGCAGTTTAAGGGTTAAAAAGTGATTCCAACTAGTGTAGAAAATGATGAAGTGCAAAGTCGTGCAAAAGAAAAAGAAAAAAATAGTTATAACCCGACAAACAATTCATCAAGGGATGTTATTGCATTTAAGGACTCTCGTCCTAAACGTCATGTTAAACGCCCTACACGATTTGATGATTAATTGTGTTCCTATGTAGTGAAAAGTATTTACTTATTATGCTAAACTAAATTTAATATTGTTTGAATAATGCAGATATCTCATTCAATATTTTGTAACTTTGTATTAGTTTCTTTCATGTTTGTTTAACATTGCATATGTATTTTTAACATTGAAATCCTTTGTGGAAAAGATTAAGTTGTTTAAATTCTTTGTGTGCTTAATTAATGTTAAATGTATGCAGTATCTCTTGATATGGTAATAACTTACTTTGTGTCAATAACTTTGCTTTGTGCTACAAGCAGGGTAGACATCCTGTATTCATTCTTTTTAAAGAAAAGGAGGGATGTCATGTTCACAGAAAATGGTACCATCCGTTTTCTATGTGCGGCGGCTGAGACGCCAGAGAGGAGAAGGTAAACAAGAGAGCGTACAGGACGCCCGCCAAGCTTGGTAGCTACTAGTCGTGTAATCATATTAAGTATTAAAGTCAGTAACCAAGTCATGACTTTACATCAACCCTACAACCAAGACTTCCTCAGTAACACACAAACACCACACCGGGGTCGCCTTCTTGAGCCGTTTCTCCTCTCTTCTTCCCTGTCTCTTCTGAATTCTGGTGAGCCCACTCATTTGGACTCTCGGATTTGCACCCTTTCCTGTCTTGATCTTTCTCTCTGCTCTTCTCTTTACTTAGATTTCACGTGGCAGGTTCTTGATGACTTCCATGGCAGTGATCATTTCCCTATCCTTGTTTCCTTTTTCTCGTTTCGCCCTTCCTTCTCTTTTCCTAGGTGGCAGTTTGCTAAAGCGGACTGGAACCTATTTACCCTCAGTGCTGCTCTCTCTGATCTCTCCCTTCTGCCTCTCCCTCGTGCTCTCCTCCTTTTTCATGACACTGTCTTCACCACTGCCCTCCGCTCTATTCCTCGCTCTTCCTCTCGGGGTCCGCGGAAGTGCGTTCCCTGGTGGAATGCGGATTGTGCCCGGGCCGTCCGCTGTAAGCGTGCAGCCTGGAAGAGGCACTGCCGTCGGCAGACGGCCGATTCTTTTCTTTTCTTTCAGAAAGCGCGTGCGGTGGCCCGTAGGGCCATCCGTACGGCTAAACGTGAATATTGGGCATCTTATGTCTCCACAATTACGTCCGAAACTCCTCTGCCCCAGATCTGGAAGCGTATCCGCATGATAGCGGGTAAGTTCGTTCCTGATGTTTCACCGGTCCTTCACCACCATGATACTCTTGTGGCGGACCCGTTGCAGGTCGCTTCCGAACTGGGTTCCCACTTTTCTTCTGTTAGCTCTGATCTTCATCTTCCCCAATCTTTCCTTCTTCGTAAACCTGTCCTTGAGTCTCGTCCTTTAGATTTCTGCACTCGTCTTCAGCTTCCCTATAATGATCCCTTCTCTCTCTGAACTTTGTTCTGCCCTGGCCCTCTGCGGTTCTAAGGCGGCGGGCTCCGATGGTATTCATTATGAGATGCTTCGCCATCTCCCTCCGTGCACGTCTCGGTATTTACTGAGTCTGTATAATCGGATCTGGATCTGGGAGTCGTCGTCAGTCCCTGAGGACTGGCTCGATGCCGTTGTCCTTCCTGTTCGCAAACCGGGGTCTCTGGGTACTTCCCCTAAGGACTTTTGCCCTTTTGCCCTCACAAGTTGTGTCTGCAAACTCTTTGAATGTATGGTTAACGTTCGTCTGATGTGGTTCCTGGAACACCATCACCTCCTCTCCCCTTCTCAATTTGGTTTCCGCAAGTGCCGCAGCACGACAGATGTCCTGGTGAACTTGGAGGTCTATATTCGTACTGCTTTTGCTGCGAAGACCTCCGTTGTTGCCGTCCTTTTTGACCTGGAAAAGGCTTACGACACCACTTGGCGATGTCATATTCTATCTCGACTTCATTCTTTTGGCCTTCGTGGTCATCTCCCTCTTTCTCCGCAGCTTCTTCTCTCGTCGTTCCATTCGGGTGCGCCTTGGTACAGCTCTCTCTGCCTCTTTTCAGCAATACGAAGGTGTGCCCCAGGGTAGTGTTCTGAGCACTACTCTTTTTCTGGTTGCCCTCAATGGTCTTCTTTCCTCTCTTCCTTCAGGCGTCTTCTCCGCTCTCTATGTCGATGATCTTACCCTTTGCTGTCAGGGTGATGATTCGCCTCTCCTTCAGTGCCGGCTTCAACTTGCAATTGATGCCGTGTCGTCTTGGGCCACCGATCATGGCTTCAAGTTCTCTACTTCCAAGACTTGTGCCAAGACTTTTACGCGGAAACGGGTTGTTCTTCGTCCCTCTGTCACTTTATGGTCATCCCCTTGAGTACAAAGATTCCGCGAAGCTTTTAAAGTTATTCTTTGACACTCGTTTGTCTTGGTCTCCCCATATCTCTCGCCTCCGTGTTGAGTGCTCTCAGGCCCTTGCCCTCCTTCGGGTCTTGTCCCATACTTCTTGGGGGGGGGGGAAGATAGGTGCGCACTCCTTGCTTTACATTCCTCTCTCGTCCTGTCTAAGCTCGATTATGGTTGCCCTGCTTACTCGTCTGTTTCTCCTTCTACTCTTCGCCGTCTTGATGCTTTGCACCATACTAGGTTGCGCCTCAGTTCTGGTGCCTTTCGTTCGACTCCCGTCCTTGGCTTGTATGTCGACACTGGCTTCCTGTCTCTCCAAGACCGCCGTGATCGCTACTGTCTTCGCTATCTTGTGCGGTCCTTACAACATCCTTCCTCTCGCCTCTGTCGTGCTTTAACTTTTACCCCTCCTGCGGTTCCTGTTCCTCTTCACCACCTCCCTCTTTCTGTCCGGTTATCTCGCCTACAGGATTCTCTTTCCGTTCATATTTCTAATGTTTCTCCTCGTATTGTTCCTTCTTTGCCCCCGTGGAGAGTCCCTCTTCCGCGGTTTTGTACTTCCTTGACCCGTATCACTAAAGCTTTTACCCCTCCTACGGTTCCAAAACGCCTTTTCCTCGAGCACTTTTCTTCTCGCTCCCGCTCCATTTCTGTCTTCACCGATGGGTCTAAGTCTGCGGATGGTGTTGGCTACTGTTGTTTTTCCTGATCGCACTTATGTGTGTCGCTTACCTCCGGAGACTAGCATCTTTACAGCGGAGCTTTATGCTATTCTCTATGCTCTTCGTCTCCTGCTTTTTCGTTGTCAGTCTTCCTTTGTAGTTGTTGTTGACTCTCGTAGTGCCCTCATGGCTCTCGGGTCCTTTAATCCGGTTCATCCAGTAGTTGTCAAGATCCAGCATTGGCTGTTTCTTGTTCACAGTAAATTTAAGTCGGTTAAGTTTTGTTGGGTTCCCAGCCATATTGGTGTGTCTTTAAATGAGCGTGCGGATGCTGCCGCCAAGGAAGCTGTCCGCTCTTGTCCCGTCTCTCGTAAAGGTATTCCATATTCCGACTTTTACCTGGTTATCCATTCCTCCGTCCTTACCCGTTGGCAGGCTTCTTGGTCGTCTGTTACTGGTAACAAACTAAGTACTCTTAAATGTTGTTTCCTCGTGGCCGTCCTCCTACCACCGTAACTGGCGGTGGGAAACAGCTCTGGCGAGGTTGCGTATTGGCCATACTCGCTTAACCCATGGTCACTTGATGGAGTGCTGCCCAGCTCCTTATTGTCCTAGTTGCATTGTCCCTCTTACGGTCGTGCATGTCCTTCTTGAGTGTCCTGACTTCCAGGACGAGCGTATGTCTTGCTTTCCGACCGCCCCTTGCGGTCACCTGTCCCTCAATAGAATTCTTGGTGACTCGGATACTTTTGATATCGTTCGTCTTGTGCGTTTTTGTTCTCGTATTGGCATCCTTGGTGATATTTAGCGCCCTCTGATTATTCTGCGAATTTGATGGTGCTACATAGCCTTCCCGGTTTGGTGCCTTCTTTTGATAATTACTTACTTCTGTAAAGAAATAATGCTATAGACACCTCCTGTAGCTGCTTTTAATATGTAGTATTTAATATTATTGGTAAATGTTTTACTACTGCAGTTTTTAAATTATATAAAGCACGGCCCATTTTAGAGCTTGTGCACTGGTACTATGGCTAAAGGTGGGCACCATTTCCTCAAAGAAAAAGTAATCCTGTTCAGAAGAAAGGAACTATTGCAGACTCCATCTTTGATCCTCTCCTCCCTTATTCCTCCCCCTTCCATCCTCCTCCTCTTTCCCAGACAGTGCACCATACATGAACGGCTGAAAAACTGTTAGAAAAAATTCTCTGGGGAAAACTGATATTTTCGGACTTCATGGGAGTTGCTGGTTGTCTCATCAGCAGCTGATGTTGTCCAAAGAATTTGGGCTGGCTAGCATCAAGTGTCTGCTTCTTAACCTTGGACATGCATTCTTTTATAAAGACATCACATGTGTTCATATATTTGGTTTACTGCTTATAAATGTAAGAATTGTTTACATGGAAATGTAGTACCTGTATAAAAAATCTATTCATTTCATTCTATTAGATTCTACCATGGACTTTATGTATATATTTGTATTTAATAGGGTCAATGCAGAGTGTGACGAGCAGTGCACAGAAAAAATATAACCTTCCCAGTGGAGGTTCTCAGAGCAGTCAGCGGTCTTTTGGAGACATCAGTAACAAAATAGGAGGGACTCATAAGGGCTCAGGAGGTGACATAAAGAAAGCTCCTAGTCAATCCACTTCCACTGACCGTAAGTATAATAAACTACATCAAAGTTATAGCTGTTTTAACCCTGGGGGTCTTCATTTTCAGGAGTTTGTGCACTAGATATAACAATCTAATTCTTTCCTTTTTTTATTGTAATTACCTAAGTGTAGTTACAGGATGAGAGCTACGCTCGTGGTGTCCCATCAACCCAGCACTCTGTCATGTAACGCTTTGAAACTACTGACGGTTTTGGCCTCCACCATCTTCTCGCTTAACTTGTTCCAACCGTCTACCACGCTGGGAAAGTGAATTTTCTTATTTCTTCTGCATCTTTGTTGAGTTAGTTTAAATCTATGACCTCTTGTTCTTGAAGTTCCAGGTCTCGGGAAATCTTCCCTAACGATTTTGTCAATTCCTGTTACTATTTTCTACGTAGTGATCATATCGCCTCTTTTTCTTCTGCCTTCTAGTTTTGGCATATTTAATGCCTCTAACCTCTCCTCGTAGCTCTTGCCCTTCAGTTCTGGGAGCCACTTAGTAGCATATCTTTGCATCTTTTCCAGTTTGTTGATGTGCTTCTTAAGATATGGGCACCACAACTGCTGCATATTCTAGCTTTGGCCTAACAAAATTTGTGAAAAATTTCTTTCACCATCAATGTATATAAAAGCAATTCTGAAGTTGGAAATCATAGCTTAGGCTCCTCCACAACGTTCTTTGTGGGCCTCAGGTGATAGTTTTCTATCTAGAACCACCCCTAGATACAGTATCTCTATCAGAATTCTTTAAAGATTTCTCACATAATATATAGGTTGTGTGGGGTCTATGTTCTCCTATTCCATATTCCATAACATGGCATTTATTCACATTAAATTCCATTTGCCAAGTGGTGCTCCATATACTTGTCCAGGTCTTCTTGAAAGGCATGACAGTCATCTAAGTTTCTTATCCTTCCTATTATCTTAGCATCATCAGCAAACATGTTCATATAATTCTGTATACCAACTGGTAGATCATTTATGTACACAATAAACATTACCGGTGCAAGAACTGAATCTTGTGGTACTCCAATTGACATTTCTCCAGTCCGATACATTGCCTCTGATCACTGCACTCATTTTTCTATGTCAGAAAATTTTTCATCCATGTTAGCTTACCTGTCACCCCTCCAATATTTTCCAGTTTCCAGAACAACCTCTTATGTGGAACTCTGTCGAAAGCCTTTTTTAGGTCCAGATAGACGCAGTCAACCCAACCTTATCTTTCCTGTAAAATCTCTGTGGCTCGATCGTAGAAACTGAGTAAATTCGATACACAGGATCTTCCAGATCGAAAACCATACTGTCTATTTGATAATATATCATTTCTCTCCAGGTGTTCTACCCATTTAGTTTTTATTAATTTTTCCAATATTTTGACTATTACATTTGTCAATGATTCAGGTCTATAATTAAGAGGGGGTCTTCCCTGCTGGCACTTTGTAGATTGGAACTGTTACCCTTTTTCTACACATCTGCTAAGACTCCTGTACACAGGGATGTCTGAAAAATCGGCTGAAGTGGAATGCTGAACTCGGGTGCGCATTCTCTCAGATCCCATGGTGAAACTCCATCCGGGCCAACTGCTTTGTTCTTACTTAGCTCCAGGAGCATTTGTTTCACTTCGTCTCTAGATACCTCAATGTACTCTATGCTGTTTTCTGGAATTCTTATTGTCTGGTTCTCTGAAGATCTCATTTCGTACAAACACACTTTGGAACTTTTCGTTTAATGTTTCACACATTTCCTTTTCATTTTCCATGTATCTGTCCTCTATTTTCAACCTCTTAATATTATCCTTTACCTGCAGCTTACTTTTAATGAATTTATAGAAGAGGCCTGGATCTGATTTGCATTTGTCTATTATACCGTTCTCAAAGTTCCTCTCTCCTTACTGACGTGTAGTTGTTTCTTGCATCTTTGTATCGCTGGTATGTTTGGGGGTTTGGCTATTTTCTATAATGATTCCATGCTTGTGTCTTTTGATCTCTGGCCTCTCACAATGTCTGTTGAACCAACCCTGTTTCCTAGGTCTGCATCTCTGTTTTGGTATGAATGTTTGTATGCCTTCATCGTATATTTTGCAAAATTTGGCATATGTCTCGTTTACTTCCTTGCCTAGCAATAAATCTGTCAAGTTATACCCAAGAGAAACATTTCTATGTTCCCCATACATCCTCTCTTGAAATAGTTTAACAACTGTTTCACTGTCCCCATTCTCTACTAGATTATATCGCATGGAGTATTTAATGTCCAAGAGGATGTGATCACTCTTTCCCAAGGGAGGAAGGTACTGGATGTCAAGTACTGTATCTCTCCTTTCCTGGTGAATACTAGATCCAGTACTGACGGAACATCCCCTTCCCTCATTCTTGTGGCCTGCTTGACGTGTTGATGCATCGGTGTCTCAAAGATGGTTTACAAATCAGCCTGTCCAAATGTCCTCTGTTCTCTCCTCGTAGGCCTCCCAGTCTATTGCCTTACAGTTGAAGTCCCGCAGTACCAACAATTGGGATTTATCTTTGTCAGCTCTTGCCATACTCTCTCTCATGACCATCATGAGGCCCTCTCGTTTGTCATCCAGTTCTTCCTTTGCCCATGTGTTGCTTGCTGGTGGGCTGAAGGCATTCAAAATTATCAGCTTATCTTGATTCCAGACCTGCAGTGCCATTGTCAATATCTCGAGGGTTTTCAAATATTAACACTCTTACCTTCAGGTGTTCTTTCACCAGCACAGCCACTCCTCCGCCCTTCCTAGTTTTCCTGTCACGTCTCCAAACTGAGTAGCCCCTTGTTGAGGGGTTACTCGGATTGAGTAGAAGTTGTATGGGAATACAACCTCGTTTAAAATATTTTCTTAAAATTTTGTCTCGGTTAATGCGACAATATCTGGGACTTTGAGCAGAATAATATCCTTCAATTTCCAATATTTTCGATCTCGCTCCATCTATGTTGGTATATACTATTTTCAGGAACATGTTCCCCTTCCCTTTGTTCTTTACACCCCCTTCTTTTAATGGTTTTGTTGCTTTGTCTTTTTGTACCATTTCACAAGCTTTCCAGTCCCTGACACTTTGTAGAAAAACGAATTCCTTTCTTCATTTCTATCCCCAGTTAGACGTTTTGCTTCAATGAGGTTCATTTTCAGCTTTTCTCTGTCCTCTTTTGAGAGGTCTTGTCTTATTGACCAAAGTTTGCCATCCTCATCACTCTGCAATTTTCTGGTATTCCAAAGCACTTGTCATGTACTTCACTCCATTAAACGTCACCCTTAAGGGGGCTGTTCTTGTCTTTCTCATATTTTCCTATCCTCCTAAAATCACTAACATGTTCCTTTCAATTTAGCCCTTCTAATTCTACTATTTTTTCTATGATTTTCATCTCTTCTGCTTCTCGGTCCACCCTAGATGGAATTTCCTTCTCTAAGCATCCAACAATTATTATGGACTTACTTCTGTCTACAGTGTTTTGTACCAGTTTACTGTTGGTTACCAGTTGTTTCCTAATTGCTTGCCCAAGATCCGCTTCTTGTTTATCATTTCTGGTTTTGACTTCCAAACACGCTTCCTTAATCGTCTCTCTCTTTTACAACTTGGGTATACGTCTTTTATTTCTTTTTTTATTCTTGTCTAGTTCTTTATTAACCTTCTATGCGAGTTGTCAATGAAGTTTCCAGTTGTAGATCCTTGCCTAACTCCATGTTAGCCCTCGGGGTCCCTTGGAGTTGTTCACCATACGAGTCTATTTTCTCGTTTATTTCTTCAGTCACCACACTTCACTTTCCACGCCTCATTTTCTTTCACTAGTTTCTTGATTTGTTCCTCCTGATTTGTTACCTTGTCCGTTAATCCCGCTTGCTGAAGAATACTTCCTTTCAGAGTACAAAGCTCACTCCTAAGAGCTCCATTGTCCTCTTCCAATTTAAGCACTTTTTCTTCATACTACTTTTGCATATCCTCAATTATCTCTAACCTGTCAAGAACACCTCCTTTCCTTATATCTTGTGAGAATTCTTTGAAGCAATCATCTTACCTTCTTTCTAATAAGGAGAGATTCTTCCATTTTTTGTTTACTTTCCAACTGACAAGTTTTAAAGTTGTACCCACATCTCTGGCATTGACTGTACTCTGTAGACTGTACGTGAACACATTCCTGGCATTCTGTGCATCTCGTTAGGAATTTTCCTTTCAAACTTGACCAATGACTGTTGAACAACAATGGAAGAGGGGTAGCAATCATCTGTTGTTGTTGTGTTGATTTAGGGGCGACGACGATCGTGGGATCGGATGCACCCCGGCTGCCCGATACCGGGAAATAGCGGAGAGATGGGGTCCCTATAGTCTCTTCAGGCCATAGACCCTACAATCTCCTCAGGCCACAAATTTTAGTCTCTTCAGGCCACGGACATGACGGATGAAGCGGAAGGTATGGCGAAGGATGTCATGACGGACGTCTTCGTCTCTCTCACCTGCCCTGTCAAGGAGAACGGAAACTGTGAGGCGGGGAATATTCAGCCTAATCATCTGTTTACATTTCCCGTGGTGGCGGTGGCAGCCATCTTTGTTTTTGTTCTAGAACAAAAACTAACTTTTCTAATGCTATTTTCACTTGCCTTTACTTGTTTATTGTATTTTATTTACATTTACTCTTCCCTGAACCTTTATGTAACCTGGGACACCACTGTAGCCCCTCAACCTGATCCCAGTACTTGGGTAATTTGATATTCCAGGAGCTTGCAGCAGTGTGACTCCTGCCTCCTCCAGCTCCAGTCACTCCAGAGTCAGAGTCCAGAGTCATATACTCGCCTAATTGTGCTTGTGGGGGTTGAGCTCTGGCTTTTTGGTCCCGCCTCTCAACCGTCAATCAACAGGTGTACAGGTTCCTGAGCCTATTGGGCTCTATCATATCTACACTTGAAACTGTGTATGGAGTCAGCCTCCACCACATTACTTCCTAATGCATTCCATTTGTCAACCACTGACACTAAAAAAGTTCTTTCTAATAT